TCAGGAGGAGAGACCTACAGAGTGCATGAAGGCAGGAGAAGCCACAATGAGAGAAAGAAAAAAGCCTATCTGACCATTTCGAGCCCTGGCCACTTCCAGGTTGGAGCTGCTGAGCTCACAGTACAGGAGCTGGTAAAAGCTACAGCTGGAAGTTCTGGTCAAGATGGCGGAATAGAGGCCGGCCAGTGGCTCACTTGGGAGAGTGCGGTGCTGATAACACCAAGGCCACAGGTTTAGATCCGATACAGGGATGGCCGGTTGGCTCACTTGGGAGAGCGTGGTGCTGACAACACCAAGACAAGGGTTGAGATCCCCTTACTGGTCATCTTTTTTTTTAAAAAAAAAGATGGTGGAATAGACGGTCCCCAGCGTCACTTTCTCCCAGAAATCAACCAATTTACAACTGTATAAAAAAGCAACAGCAGCCAAGCTGGGGCCACTAGAGTTCAGGGGAAGAAGAAGAGAGACCTACAGAGTTCATGAAGGCAGGAGAAACCACAATGAGAGAAAGAAAAGGGCCAGCCCCGTGGTGCACTCGGGAGAGTGCAGCTCTTGGGAGCGCAGCAGCGCTCCTGCCGCAGGTTCGGATCCTATATAAGGATGGCCGGGCGACACCAAGCCAAGGGTTGCAATCCCCTTACCGGTCACAAAAAAGACAAAAAAAAAAAAAAAGAAAAAGAAAAAACCATGCTGACCATTTTGTGCCACGGCCACTTTAGGCTGGAGCTGCTGAGTGCATGGAGCAGGAGCCGGCAGAAGCCGCAGCTGTGACCTTTGTTTTTTTTTTAAAAGATGACCGGTAAGGGGATCTCAACCCTTGGCTTGGTGTTGTCAGCACCACGCTCAGCCACTGAGCAAACCAGCCATCCCTATATAGGATCCAAACTCGCGGCCTTGGTGTTACCAGCACCGCACTCTACCGAGTGAGCCACAGGCCGGCCCTGCAGCTGTGACCTTTGGATGGAGTTGCTTGGAGGCAGCAGGGGAGAAGAGGGCCTTGGTGGCCCCCAGACCAGCAAGACCACTAATAAGGTTCCTGTGGACCCACATAAGAGTGAGGATCCACAACAACTGAGAAAATGGAGCCACTCAGAGGCCAGTGAGTCATTGGCGACCATGCGCCCATCCCGTGGGAAATGTTTGGAGCATGGGTGGTGGGGGAGACAGGCCCACCAGGAGAACACTGGGACACAGCAAGGACAGCTGATCTGCACCCCTATCAGCGCGGGACCACTCAGAGGAGACTGGTCAGGAATATAGAATTGCATGGGGTGCAGTTTGATGAAAAGACTCAGGCCCAGACCAGAGTTTCTACACAACCCAGGTACACCGAGTATCTGGAGAGCCGGAAGTACCTATAAAGTCAACCATTATAACCTGTGCTGCACAAAAAGCCTTCTGTATGGAAGCAGCAACAAAGCAGCAATCTAGTTAAACCACACAGCTCAAGTACTGGTCCCAAGAGGAAGTTCACCCACTTTAGAAGTAAGCAAAGGACACAAAAAAATTAGTTCTGGCTCAGACACATCGCCACCACCTAGGGGCCACCTGGGGACCCGAGGGATGGAGCTGGGGACCGTACCCCCCTACCCTCAACCAGGCACACTGCCATTGCCACCACCAACTAGATGAGGAGCATGCCAAAAATACTATGTCCATGTGGGTGGCCTACCACAGCCACCACAGTAACCATAGCTGTTGCAAAAGCAGCTAGATGCCACAACCACCATGCAGATGGTCTACCAGCCACAGGAGTGCATTGACACAAGGAAAGTCACCAGCAGAGACCAAAGAAAAGAAGAGGATGTCTCTCTCCACAAAGCTCATTCCAGAGTGAGAGAAGAAGCCTATGCTCTTTGATAATGTTGGGGGACCTGAACACACCTCTTAACATTGGACAGATCATCTAGGCAACAAATCAACAAAGTAACCATTACTCTTTTACAAGGAGAGAAGAAATCGAGGGTAATTAAAGGCGGGAGGGAGAGGGGAATGGGGACAGATTGGACAAGGGCCATAAAGAATAAGTATGATTTGTAACAATATATATGCTACTAATATTGACTTGATCAACATATGTCAACGTTGAACCCCCCAAATATGTATAATCCATCATGATTCGATAAAAATTTTTAAAAAAGAGAGAAAAAAAGTCTTTCCTCTGAAATTCTGTGAAAGAACACTGGAGGGTACATCTTTGGGATAAAAGCATGACCAGCTCACGAGTACACTTTGTGACAGTCACAAATCTCTTACATATGTATTTATTATTGTTAAAGTACATTGTTCTGTATTTCTTTATTCACGGGATTTAGAATGTACTTCTCACACATGAGGGTTTTCCAAAGTTGATTTATCATAAATACTGAAGCGGAAGTATATTTTATGGATACTTACTGCTCTTCGTTTTACTACAAGCTGCATTAAGTCAACACAAAGTGTTTTAAGCCAACATAGTATTTCAATTTAAATATGGTATAAATTTTTTTTTTTTTTTTTTTGTCTTTTTCCGTGTCCGGCAACGGATCGCAACCCTCAGTGTTGCCCCCGTACCGGACCGGGGACCGGCAACGGGATCGCAACCCTCGGTGTTGCTCCCGCACCTTGCTCAGCCAGTGAGCAGGAACCGGTCTGTATGTGGGATCCGAACCCTCGGCAGGAGCGCCACCGCGCTTCCCAAGCGGCGCACTATCCAGTGCGCCACCGCGCCGGCCCCTATGGTATAAAATTTTATTTTGTAAGATAAATAAATAAATAAATATATATATTTATGGAACATCAATTATATCTCAATAAAGCTGTGAAGTTAGGTTAAAATAAAACCATGGGGAAACTGGGTGAAGAGTACAAAGAAATTCTCTGACCTGTCATCGTAACTTCCTGTGAAACTAGAATGATTTCAATATAAAGAGTTTAAGAGATTTTAAAAGGAAGCATGCAATTTAAAAAAACTGTATTAATACTTGTCAGATTGCTCTGTGAATAGGCTGTATCAGTTTAGCTCTCCAAGACTGTCAGAGAAGTCTGTTTCTCCACATCCTACTAATGGTGGTTGTAATAAACATTGACTGCTTTTACCAATCCAGGGGCACAATCTGGTTGTTCAATTCATATTCCTTTGAGTAGTAGTCTGATTTAATGTCATATCAGGTTTTGGTGGGATACTTTTATTTCTTCTTTGCTGTGCCTGCTTGCTTATTAGCTTTGCTAGCTTACCTCTTTCAGGTGTTTGCTCAGATGTCACCTCAGAGAAGCTTTCCTGACCCCACTATTTTAAATTGCAGCATCCCCCTGCCTCCTATTCTTTTTTTTTTTTTTTGCTGGCCAATACAGGGATTGAACCCCAGACCTTGGTGATATCAGCACCACACTCTAACCAACTCAGGTAGCGAGTTAGTCACCTACTTCCTATTCTTGCTTTATTTTTCTCTGTAGGATTTATCATCACCTGACACACTAATCAGTTTAGTTATTTATCTTAACATCTATGCCCCCACACTGAAATGTCAGTGCTTCAAGGGCAGGAATTGTGTCTGTTTTGTTTATTACTAAATCCCCAACATCTAGAACATGCCTGGCACATCGTAGATACTCGATAAATTTCTTGAATGACTGAATGCTTGTCTTTTTTTTTTCCTATGGGGGTATTTGTCTTTTCTTGTTGATTTAAGATCTTTTTATGTGTTAGGGGAATTAACCCTTTATCAGAAAGGATGCAAATATTTTCCCCTATTGATGTTTGTCTTTTATTTTACCGTATAGAGATTTAAATTTTTATGTAGTTATACAGTTATCTTTCATGGTTTCTGGACTTTTTGTCTTCCTTCTCTAAGATTGTAAACATTTTTCTATGTATATTTTTTGTAATTCTGTAGATTTTTCCAGTGTAGAGCTTTAATTCATCCAGAATTTGTTTTCTGTCGGATGTGAGATAGGAATAGAACTTTTCTATTCCAAATGATAGTCAACTGTCCGCATTTTTCTTAATATATCATTTGTGGTCCTAATCAACATTTTAAAGGGCTGGCTGGTAGACTTTTCATTCAGAAAAATATTTCTTGTCTGCTGTGCAATTAAGTCAATGTTTCTCCGTTTTCTTATATTTCATACAAAGGAAGTTAATTTTTGTATTCTGCAGAAACATTTAGCATAGCGCCGAGCACACGGTGGTAGCAGAAATTGTGGAATGAGTGAATAAAGGAACAGACGTATGTGCGCCTGCTCTATTGGGCAGTGAGGTCCTAGTGGGCGTGCACATGAGAGCTGGAGGAGGTTTAGAGGTTTTCACTGATCTATAGAGAAATTTAAAAAATAAGGATGATTGTGCACATGTGCACGCACATGTGTAGAGAAAATCATTGTAAGGCTATCAACTGTCTTTCGGGGGTAAGAATTTCTGAAATTTTGGGTTTCCTTTTCTATTGTACTGAAATTACGGTAAAATTACAGGAATTTTACTGTTTACGAAATCCAAAAGTCAAGTCAATTCAGAAACAATGAGGTGTGGTCCTGCTCCTCCACCCCGTAGTTACTGAGCCACCTGGTGTGTGTGAGTCACTGCTACAGGCCTCGAGGACTCAGCAGTGAAGACAAGCCGGGTGCCTGTACGGTTTAGCAGGGGAGGCCGACATTCAAGGCGCACTCAGGCAATAGTTAATGTCAGGTGGGGTACGAGTAAGGAAGAAGACAGGGCGGCAGGAATATTGCGTAGATAGAAACAAGCCCAGAGACACACAGCGTTCACTGTCACCCGCCCATCCTCAAGCTTGGGCCGGGTCTGGAGGGCGGAGGGGCGGGGCGGGGCGCTCCGGGCATCTTCTAGCCCCGCCCACTCCGCCCGCCGTGGAAGCTGGGGGGAGGGGCAGCACGTGACCGGGTGGGGCGTGGCCTGCCCGGCTAGGCTGGGCGGAACGTGCCCGCCTGCGGCTGCGTTTCCGGCCGGAGGCTTTTGCCCGGAGCCCCGCGTCCCTGGGGGGGGGCGGCGGCGGCGGCGGCAGAGGCGGCAGGGGGGTCCAGAAGTCAACACCATGTCGAGTCTACATAAGAGCCGGTAAGAGGTCATGGCGGTCGACCCGGCCGGACCACCGCTGGCCGGGCTTCCCCTTCTGCCCCGCAGAGGTGGGGAGCGCGGGTGCGGCCAGGAATCGGGAGCCCCCCACCCCCGGCAGAGGGTCTCGGGCGCCCACTTTCTAGCCTCATTGCCTGTGGGCCGGAGAGGGCACGGAACCGAGGCCCCCCTCCTGTCCGCGGTGTCTTTCCCTCGCTCTTCCTCACCCCGGACCCCTGGTTTCCCCCTTCCCCTGGTTTCCCCTTCCCCTGGTGTCTTCCTCATCCAGACTTCGATGACCCGTCCCCCCTTTCTCCTTTTTCACTCCCTGCCCCTGTACCCTCCTTTCTTCAAATGCTCCCCCTCCCCCGTGCCCTTTTCTTACTAGAAATGCGCGAACCTGGATTCTCCAATCTCTCCCCTCCCCCCAGCCAGATCCTGCACATGGGCTAAATTTTGCTCACTCTTCAGTTTTCCTCCCGCACTTCTTTTTTAAACCTTGCCTGCAGGCAGACCCAGAGGTTATACTTTTGAGCATGGAGAGCTGCGTGCAGATTGCACAAGTCCCTTGTCTGTGGATCATATTACTTCTGGATCCTAGGGTTCGTTGAGTTCAGGTAGTGGCCGTGCTGTGGGCTGGGCCTGGCCAGCAGGAAGTGCCCAGTAAATGCCAGCTCACTAAATATTAGAATGTGTCTAATTTTATGGTACTCATTTAAGACGAGAATATTTCTCAGGTTTTTTCACTGGCATTCTGTGTTTCTGGGCTTAGAGGAAGAAGTGATCTATAGTACTCTAGTTCCTTAAAGCTGCCTTTGGTAAGCACCTTGACTTACTTAGCTTTGCCATCTTTATGTCCTGAAGAGGGGGGGACAGGTTGGAGAACGGTGGTGTGTGGGAGCTGTGGGCTCCAGTTTAGGTCCCCTTGGGGTTTGGGTGTGTTTCATTTGCCTCCCTCTCCCCTCTCCTAGGATGGCAGATTTCCAGGATGTCCTGAAGGAGCCCTTGATTGTGTTGGAAAAGCTGCGGGAACTCAGTTTTAGTGGTAAGAGGCAATTGCATTTTCGGGGTTCCCCTAGAGCAGTGTTGTGGCTAGGATGGAGGGGAAGGTACCCAAGACTAAACTTGGTCTGTTCTGGAAGCCAGAAGACCCTTGGTTCTTTCTCCAGATTCTGTAGAGCTGAGCAAGCAGTGACCACCCCGGGCTTGGAGGGGTTTCCCAGAGGAGTGGTGGCCACAGGGAACATGTCCATAGGCCTTAGACAGGGAGGCACCAGAGTTCTGAGAGTAACTGGAGAGAACTGAAGAGAATGAGAGGGGGAAGAAGACCTTTTGAGCCCAGGGCAGGCCTTTCCTCATTCCTCAGTTAGCTTCCTGTGTTAAAGAATTTGGTTAGCTGCAGGGTGGTTCCTCATCTTCTCCCTGGCCTAGGACTAAAGCCCACTGAGGTGGCAGTGAACTTTGGTTACTGGTAAAATTCCAGCCTTGGGACACTGCTTTTAAGGAGCCAAACCTCAGCAGTGTTTTACTTTGCCCTCCCTGGCATGGTTAATCTTCCAGCACAGAGATAACCTGCTTTTTGCCTTTCTGTCTGTATTTATTTATTGGTGGTTGGCTGATAGGGGGATCTGAACCCATGACCTTAGGGTTATAAGGCTGGGCTCTAACCAACTGAACTAACTGGCCAGCTCCCTGCCTGTCTTTAAAAACACTCCAAGGTGTTCTGTGTAGCTTCTTGTCACTGTCCTGCCCGTGTAACTATGCCAGCAAGGAGTTCTTAAGTTTCTCCCACCATCCCCACACAGATTCTGAGGTGGGGGCATGAGCTCATGTTCATGGCGGCTGGGAAACCATAGCAACAGCTGCTCCAGTGAGGTTCCTGGCAATATTGCAGAAGTTTGTCTTTCTGTTCAGGGGTGATATTGAGGCTGCAGAGGGGAGTAGTGGCTGAGAGTTTGGGCTCTCAAGTCAGACCTGTGTTCGAGTCTTTGGTTGCTCTGTTTTACAGATAAATTTCCTTATCTGTAGGATGAGGACGATGATGCTAATCTTGCCTACTTACTGGGGTTGTAATAAGGATTAAGTGAAATAATGTCTGAACAGCACTTAGCATTCTAAGTGCTGTACAGACATTTAATAACTTAGTGTGTATTCTGCAAATACTTATGGAAAACTTTCTGTGTGCCATGCCCTGTTCTAGGCACTGGGAATAGTAAACAAGTGTGGTTCTTGTCTTTCTAGGGCTTACCCAGTTGTGGGGGTTACAGATGTTAAATAAATACACAATTTATATTATATAATTCCAGTAGTGATGGGTACTGTGAAGGAGAAGTCACAGAGCCATTATTGTTTATAACAGGGGGACCTGACTTTGACTGGGAAGAGATGATAGGTAAAGGCTGCTCGGAGGAAGAAATATCAAGGATAAGATAGTGTTATCCTAAAAAGAACATTCCAGACAGGGAGCTCTTGGCTGGGGATTGGGGCATGGACAGAAATTACACACACAGGGGCTGGCTGGTTAGCTCAGTTGGTTAGAGCACAGCCTTATAACACCAAGGTCATGGGTTTGGATCTCTGTACTGGCCAGCCATAAAAAAAAAAAAAAGAAAGAAAGAAAGAAAAAGAAATTACACACAGAATTAGCATCCAATCTAGTAATCCTTCTGGCAGAAAATAATTCTTGAAGAAGTACTTCTTGCCCACCCCACTCCCTGCCAACTGGTTCCAAGGTGGAGGGCTGGGGGGTTCTGGGACTCTGCCTGGGGCGTGACCTTTGCCTGCTGTGTCCACAGGCATCCCCTGTGAGAAAGGACTGCGGTGCCTCTGCTGGAAGGTCGGTGTGCCTGGGGTGGGGCTTCTGCTCTGCTGAGAGTCCCTGGGTTCCTGCATGGGCTGCCCCCATCCGCAGCCCCTCCCTCCTGTTCTGCTCCTTTCCTTGCTTGTCTGAGGAAACTTTTCTGGGAAGTTCTGTGTTTTCTGTTCTTCTTGGCATTCTCTAGGATCCCCTTGGGGATGGGACACTTGTAATGCCAGTGTAGACCTCTGCTTCCTGGTTCACACAGTGCAGCAGAAGTGATGCTTATTGAGACAAAACAAAGGCTGTGCTTTGCCCAAAGCTGTTAGCTGAGGTAGTGGTGGAGGCCCCGTATCCTGGTTTCTAGCACCTTTGAGCACAAGGTTTTATTATCATTTGGAAGAGTCTGTGTGAGGAAAGCAGAGGAAAGGGCTGTTTCAGGATCAAGGAGGAGGGAGCCAGGGGGTGGAGGGGAGGCCACCCCCAGCTCACAGCTATGCTCCTGGGTTCCAGCCCATTTTGTCTTCTCTGGGCTTTCTGAGATGCTTTTATTGAGGCCCATCAGCCTCCGCCTACTGTCCAGGGTTGTGGCAGGGGAGTTGCCAGAGCTTTGCCCCTCTCTCTCTGTGCAGATTCTCCTGAACTACCTCCCCTTGGAGAGAGCTTCATGGACTTCCATCCTGGCCAAGCAGAGGTGAGACCCTGTGAGAGGGTGATGATGGGAAGGCCTTCATATCAAACTGAACTGGTGGTGTTGAGACTGTCCTGCCTCCTGTTGCTGCATCTCTGATCTGGGCTTCCTGGGCGAGACCTTTGGGAATCATCCCTCTCTCCTCTTTTCTCTTGCAGGGAGCTGTATTCTCAGTTCCTGAGGGAAATGATTATCCAGCCTGGCATTGCTAAGGCCAACATGGGTGTGTCCAGGGAGGATGTGACCTTGGAGGACCATGTGAGCAGGGGTTTGAGGATACAGAGTGGGAAGGGGTGGGGGCTTTATTTATTTATTTATTATTTATTTATTTATTTTTGTCTTTTTTTTTTTTNCATCAGACCGAACTCATCTATCTTAGTAAACTCAAGAGAGCAATCTCATCAATCTAATTATACACATTAGACCAAGCTCATCGATCTAAGTAAACTCATCAGACCAGGCTCATCGATCTAAATTAACTCACCAGTCCAAGATACTCGATCTAAGTAAACTCATCAGACCAACCACATCAATCTAACTAAACTCAACAGAGCAATCTCTTCGATCTAGGTAAACTCATCAGACCAAGCTCATCGACTTAAATTAACTCATTAGACCAAGATGATCGATATGAGTAAACTCATCATACCAAGCTCATCGATCTAAGTAAACTCAACCGAACAAGTACATCGATCTAGGTAAACTCATGAGACCGAACTCATCTATCTTAGTAAACTCAAGAGAGCAATCTCATCAATCTAAGTATACACATTAGACCAAGCTCATCGATCTAAGTTAACTCATCAGACCAAGCTCATCGATCTAACTAAACTCATCTGACCCACCTCACTGATCTAAGTAAACTCATCAGACCAACCTCATCGATCTAAGTAA